TTTAAGCAGCATTTAGACACCCAGATGTCTTCTCATTCTATGCAGCTGTGTTACTGCTCCTCCCCCACTCACAAAGCCTAGTTTATTCTTGAGAGAGCGTCTCTGGACTCAGGACAGCAAAGCACAGTGGAAGACAGAGGTATTAGACAAAAACAGGGATTAAGGGAAAGTTTATACACTGAACGTTGAGGTCTTCAACCTTTCCCTCTCCTGCTTAATGACAATGCATTCCCCAGACAGTAGATTGGGTCCTCTCTGGGGACTCTGAGTAGTCCAAAAGGAGAATCCTCAAGGTGATGACATCGTGAGTTCTTTAACACAAACTCTAGACAGGCCACTGCACAGTCAATTTGCGTAGACAACCTTCAGTCATTCATATAAAGCTTTTAACATTACAATCTCCCTCCCTCCCTCTCCACCGCACACTCTAAGGCCCCACCCTCAATTAGGAGCAGGCATGTAAGGATTACCAGGAATTCCATGATAATATGAAAGACAGACAAATGTGCACAAATAAATGAGGACACAAAGACCAAGCAGGGAGAAGAAATACATCTTTTTTTTTTTTTTTTTGAGACACAGTCTTATGCCGTGGCCCAGGCTGCAGTACAGTGGTATGATCATAGCTCACCATAGCCTCGAACTCCTGGGTTCAAGTGATCCTCCTGCCTCAGCCTCCTGAGTAGCTAGGTCTATAGGCAAATGCCACCATGCTAAACTATTTTTTTTTTTTATTTTTATAGAGATGGGGTCTCACTATGTTGCCCAGGTTGGTCTTAAACTCCTGGCCTCAAGTGATCCTCCTGCCTCAGCCTCCCAAAGTGCTGGGATTATAGGCATGAGCCACTGTACCTGGCCTTAACATATAATATTAAAAGATTTATTAATATGTATCAGTGGGAGATATAGAGTCAAATGAGTGATTAGCAAACTAAGCAAATGAAAAGACAAAAACCATTATTAACTGCAAGGAGAGAAAAACATTGTAGAAAAGGAAAAGTAATCACAGTATATTATTACATGGTTCCACTGTGAATTGCATTCACATAGTTGTAATAATATAAACACAGATATTGATCTAACAAAAATGATGATATAACTGTATTGGGAAGATTTACCAATAGGAAAAGGTGTGAGAAATGAGTGAGATTGGAGGTGAGGGGGAAGGAGCTAAATTCTCAGAGGTCAGTGGATAACGCCTCAAAGGATATATCAGGACATAACAATTTTAGCATGATACTTGAATATGGAGATAAATAGCAAAACAGTCAACTAATAGAATAGTCGGTGCTTCTGCAGAATAGGAAATTGAGTGCAAACAAAGAGGGGCCAAGAGCCTAAGGGTTTTTTAAGATGTCTTGGCCATTTAACTCTTTAAACTATGTGTATGTATGATGTAGATAAAAATAAACACTAAATTTTAAAGAAGGAAACAAAACCTTTGGCTGCCTCACTCCCAAGTTCCACACAGCTATTTCTAATTAAGGGCCAGCAACTACTATACTATCTTTTTTTTTTCTGATTGGGACCCAGAACTCTTGCTGTGACATAATTGTCTTCAGGTGGATTTGCATCCTCAGACCTTCCCATACCTCTAGATCCATGATCCATGCATTTCTTATTTTTTCCCTCCTATAGTCTGACAGCTAAGCCTGAATAAGATTATTTGAAAGAAATTATTGTGGTACATCCATACATTTATTCATCAATAAAAAAGGGGCTTTTGATACATACAACAACTTGGATGGACCTCAAGGGTGTTTTGCTGAGTGAAAAAAAGACAATCTCAAAAGATCATATGCTGTATGATTCCATTTCTGTAACATTCTTAAAATGGCATAATAAAGGAGAAAAGACTTGTGGTTGCCAGGGGAAGGTGCCAGGGGAAGTATGACCATAAATGGGTAGCACAAGGAGACGATCTCTGTGGTGATGGAAGAGTTCTGTATTTTGAATATGGTGCTGGTTACATGAATCTACACATGTGAATAAACAGCACAGAACTATACATATACTTTATAGCAATGTCAATCTTCTGGTGGTGTAAGAAGTAATCAGTGGGGGAAACTGGGTGAAGAGTACACAGAACCTCTACTATCTTTGCAACTTCTTGTGACTTTCTCATTATTTCAAAATAAAATGTTTGCTTTTCTTATTTGAAAGAGGAATAAACTATTGATACACATAAAAACATGGATGAATCCCAAAATAATTATACTAAATGAAAGAAGCCAATCAAAAAAGAATGCAAAAGAAAAAATAAACAGATCGAAGCTAAAATCTTTTGCGTTGCAAACGATACCATTAAGAATGTAAAAAGACAACCCATAAGATGTGAGAAAGTATTTGTAAATCATATATCTGATGAAGGATTTGTATTTAGAATATGTATAGGATTCTTACAACTCAATAATAAAAAGACAAACAACCCAATTGGAAAATGGGCAAAGATTCAAATGGCCGTTTCTTCAAAGAAGATACAAATGAAAAGTAAGCACAAGAAAAGATGCTTAACATCATTAGCCATTATGGAAATGCAAATCAAAACCACAAGATGGCAGTTCACACTCAGTAGGATGGTGATAATAAAAAAGATAATAACAAATGCTGATGAGGCTGTGGAGACATGGGAACCCTCACATACTCCTGGTGTGAAAGTAAAATGGTATCGATACTTTGGAAAACAGTTTGGCAGTTTCCCAAACATGTTAAACGTAGTTACCATATGACCCAGTAATTTCTCTCCTAGGTATATATTCAAAATAATCGAAAATATGTTCCCACAAAAACTAGTACATGAATGTTTATAGTAGCATTATTCTCAGTAGCCAAAAAGCAGAAACAACTCAAATGCCCACGAACTGCTGAATGGATGAATGAAATATGGAATAGCCGTACAACGGAGTCTTATTCAGCAATAAAAAGGAATAAAGTACTGATAGATGTTACAATGTAGATGAACCTTGAAAACATTAAGTGAAAGAAGCAAGTCACAGAAGGCGACATATTGTATGATTTTAATTTATATGTAGATCTATAGAGACAGAAAGTAGCTTAGTAGTTGCCTAGGTATAGGGGGTTGGGGGGAAATGGAGAAGGACTGGTAATGGGCATAGGGTTTCTTTTTGGGGGTATGAAAATATTCTAAAGTTAGATCGTGGTGATGGTTGCACAACTCTGTAAATGTACTAAAAATGATTGAAATTTATACTTTAAATGGACACATTTTATAGTATATGAATTATATCTTTATGTTTTAAAAGAGGACATTCTCTATGATTCCATGTATATAAAATTCTAGAAAATGCAAGCTAACCTATGGTGACAGAAAAGAGATCAGTGATTGCTTGGGGATGGAAGTTGAAGAGTAGGTAGGGACAGGAGGAAGGAATGACAAAGGGGCATGACAAAACTTTTAGGGTTGATGGACATGTTCACTACTTTGATTGTGGTGATAGTTTTGTTGATGTATACATATGTCAACATTTAGCAAATTATATACTTTAAATGTATAATTGTATGTCAATAATTCATTTTTTAAAGAGCCAGAGCAAAAACATGTGAAATTCACCAATTTGACAAACATTTATTAAGTACTGGTATAGTGTTAGATCCTAGAGATTCAAAGACAAGGAAAAGATGGGTCTAGGCTTCAAACAAATCATATTCTGTCAGAGAACAGGCAAAGAAAGAAGCATATAATTGCAACATGAGCTCTATAGAAATATGCCTGGTCCGTCATGGTCACTCTCATGGTGACAGATGGACGGGAGAGCGTGTTGGGAAAGGCTTCCTGGAAGCGGTGGCTCTTGAGCTCAGCATTCAAGGGCAGATGGGAATTAAAGGAAGAATGTGGGGTTTTGTGATGAGCTATGGTGGTTCTTGGTGATGCTAATGTAGGGGGAACAACGGTAGCACATGGTACATCTCCAAGGGGACCTGATTTTATTCTCACCATATCAAAGCCATGTATTTTTTCCCAGGAGCCACACCACAGTGACAGATTGTTGTTATATTAACAATAGGTACAAAACAAGGATATAACATCTTCATTGCCCTCTGCAGACTCGCTAGTATTTATTTGTGATTAGGTATTCAGGGTCTGTCCTTCCTGCTCCATTGTTTGCTCCGTGAGAACTGAGTCTGAGTGTCATATTCACCATCCTATCCCCAGCAGGTAGCATAATGCTTGACACATAGCAGAGCTTGATAAAGATTGTTCACTGATGGGTTTGGATTTGGACCGGAGTGGAGCACATAGGCACATACGCAGCTGGTGCCTCGGGCATGGCTCAGACTTCTGATGACAAGTGTAAAGTGAAATAGTACAACTACCCACATACACACACACACACACACGCACGCACGCACGCACGCACTGCTATCTGTGTCCGAGCTCTGGCCACGGCCGTGTCAGCTACCATCCACCCTAGCCCTGCCTCTCACACATTTGTCCTAGTGGCCTGGTGTTAGGAGACTCTTTGTCTCCACTCCCCAAAGGCTCCAGGTATGAGGTTCTCCTGAGAAGGGTCAGGACAGTCTGCACTGGGGAGGGGGTGGCTCTGGCCATTGGCCTGCTCTGGGCAAGTTGGACATTCTAGGACCCTGGCTCAGGGACCACTCATGTGCTGTTTCTTCTCCTGCTCCTCCTCCTCCACCTCTAGCGCTTCTCTATGCCACCATCTTTGGGAATGTGACGACCATTTTCCAACAGATGTATGCCAACACCAACAGATATCATGAGATGCTCAACAGCGTCCGGGACTTCCTGAAGCTCTATCAGGTGCCGAAAGGACTGAGCGAGCGAGTCATGGATTATATCGTGTCCACTTGGTCCATGTCCAGAGGCATCGACACAGAGAAGGTAAGGAGGGCAAGGAGCTCCGGTAAACCACTGGTCTCCCGCCTTTCCCTGAGGGGGCTGGGGCTCTCCTAGGGCAGTGCTTCTCAAACCTGGCTGTGCCTAGAATTCACCTAGGAGGTTCTGGATTCCCAGGTCCTACCTCCAGAGGTGTTGATTGCTTCCAGATAAGCCTTACCCCAAGACCAGCAATTAGGAGCCATTATTTAAGAAATTGGAAGGGCAGGGTATATCTCCTGGAAAAGAGAGGAACTAGAAGTCTAACTGTCCAGGGAGGAATTTCTCAAATTTGGATGATGGTAAGAATCAAGTCCATGACTAGAGTAGAGTGATCAGTATTCCTGATTTTCCTTTTGCCCTGGCTCCAGTAATAGAGGCACAGCACTATTACGGATCTGGTCTTGATTCAAACTTTTGTTATTTTGTTCATTAGCGTATTTTTTTTGCATGGACTTTAATTTTTTAAAAAAAACTTGCATTAAACTATGATTTATTTTGATTACTGAGTTTTTGTCATCCCCTTAAATTATGTGCCCAAGGCTGATACCTCCCTCATCTCACTCGAGTCTTGACTCTGACAAGAATCCCACAGTGTGCTCATTAAAAACAAAATCCCTACCTCCATCCCAGATCTGTGGAAGGAGAACTTGGGGGAGAGGACGGGGACTTTTAACAAGTACCCATGTCATCCCATTTATCGCACAAGTCCAGGAAATACCAATCAAGGGCTTATGTCTTAACTGTTCATTAACTTGATCAGAGCGTCGGTTAGGTACCTCTCTCGGCATGTTTTCCCACCTGTAAAATGGAGAGGGTGATAAAGCCCTGTTGTTCTCTGAGTTGTGTTATTCTAGGTGCATTTCAATGAAGTGAAGAAAATTGGTGGTACTGGAAATAATAGAAAAAAGATAAAATGGACTTTGTATTATTCATTTATGAGTTATCTTCTTTGTATATTTTCTGTAAGCAAAGATTTAATCCCAGATCCCTTTTTCTCTGCTTCTCAGACTTCTTAAACCCCTTTCTTCCCTTTATCTGTAAGTACTTGGGGCATACCGATTGCTTTCACTATTAGAATGAGGAAAACAGAAAGATAACACTATTGCAAAAATACCTAATGACCCATTCACAGCCAAATTCAAGTGGCTTTGGGATCAGTTATCCATGTTCCTGTCTTCCTTCATTAGAATAAGTGGTTGAGAGCTGACAATTTAAAAGGAAAAATTGAACTGAATTTAATTGATCCTCAACTTCAAAGGAATGTTACTTTGGTTTTGTTGACTATCTGCCATGATAACAATAACAATGTCACTACAGCCCCAGCTACCGTTTCTTGAACGTGCATTAAGAACCGATATTTCTTGCACGTCTCCTGCATGCCTGGCCCTGTACTAGTGCCCCATTTAGGCTCCACAGCAACTCTGGGAGGCAGCACTTGTTAGCCTATTGAAGGGATAAGGATGAGAGGGCCTAACTGCCCCTGGTCACAGAGCAAAGAATGGCAAAACCAGGATTTGAATATAGTTTTGTCTGCCTTCAAAGCTTGTGCTTTTCCTACTATTACTTTTTAAAAAAAATTTAAAACACGTGCTAGAGGGAAGAAGGATGAGTCCAAACTGAGTTGTTCTAATTTCTTAAGTAGGCAGGGCATCCGCTGGGACTGAACTTAGTCCCTGGCTTTGTCAATGGCCTGCCCCAACTGCTCCTGTTGTTTCTGCTCTACCCTCTCAACAATGCCTGTAGGTTCTGTGGGTTCCTGGCAGCTGATGGAGCAGAAAGGAACTTTGATCTCACTGCCCTGGGGCTCCTTTTCCCAGGCACCAGGATGCCTTTGTAAATCTGGTCGTCTGGAACGAAGCCCTTCCCCACCCTCTCTGCAGGGCCGGGCTGGGCGGCTGCCCATGGGAGAGAGCACCGTCAGCATTTGCCCTCTCTTCCCCCCACCCCGTGGTCTCACTTTCCTGGAGGGCTTTGGGATTTGCCCCAGGTCCTGGTCCAGATGGAAGAGGGAATAGCCATGAAGTCAGCTGTGGCGACTCATTGCAGAGCCCGGCCTGGCTTGGGGCGGCTGTTCCTCCTGGCAGGCAACTGCTGGGGAGAGAACCAGTCCTGTGGTCCCACCCTCTCCCTGGCTTCCCCTCCTCTCCATTCCAGGTCAGAATGGTCAGTGACGACCAGGGGAGCTGGGGTGGCGGGCAGGGTATCAGTTTTACAGGTAATTGATTAGTGATCTTGAGCACATCACTTGTCTCTCTGAGCCTCAATTTCCATGTCTGTAACACATGGAAACTAGATGACCTTTAAGAAAAGATGACCTCTAAGGCCCTTTCGGCTATGACCTTCTGGACTTCAAAGCCTCCCTCAGATGACCTGCTGCTGTGATACCATCAAAAATGAGAGCTCACGGACGTTGAGCACTTGTATGTGCCAGGCATTGGGCCAGGACTTCCCACACAACAGGTCATAGAATCCTCAGAAGAATTCCATATTCGAGTTCAAAAACGAAGATTCAGGAAAAGGAGCTAAGTGTTCCTTCAGGTTCACACATCCAGCGAGTGCTGAGGCTGGGACTCGAATCCAGATCTGCCTGATCTGCAGCCCCTTCCCTTTCACCCATCACTCTGTCCTGCCCAGCCTGGGGGACCTCCATGCGCCTCCGCAGTGACATTTCCTCAAGAAACAGCAAGGATGGTGTTTCCTCAGAACCAAGCGGTGGGGAAGGCGGCCCAGGAAGGCTGTGGGTCTCAGGGCTGAGACCCTCCCTCAGAGAGAGGCGTCCCAGACGCCCTTCCCACCTCAGTGTGGAGCCAGCAGACGAACGATGGACGCGACCGATGGCTGTGACAGTCTGCAGCTCCCCCCACCAAGCCTCCCTCACCTCCTCACTCTGTACTCACCCTTGCTCTGGGAACCGTGCCCATGAGGAAAACATTGTCTCCATGCCAAGGCCTTCTTCTCCAGCAGCCTCTGCCGGCAAAGTCTAGCCCAGGGGAAACCAAATATTTAAAGGTGAACTCACCTGGAGAATAAATCTTGGTTCTGAACGACCAGGCACAACTGTGGCGTGACATGTGAGTGTTCCCCACTCACTGGTGATCTACTTGGGGAGAAGAGGACCCAAATTAAATCTGCATTTCTGCAGGAGTCTTGTTCTGAATGAGCCTTATGGAGGCAAGTACTTAGCAAGTGCTCTGCCCAAACACTGACGTTCTGAATTTTCCTCTCTGCCTTGGTCAATCCTCCATCCTCATCTCCCAGAGAGCTGGCTCGCTTCCCGGGCATCCTGTAACCCCAGAGAAACAAGACAGCGGCACATGGAGGGAGGGGACCTGTGTTTATGGAATCTCCTGATGGGGCCAAGCTTCGTCCCAGGCAGTATACCAGTAGATGTGATTGCATTTCATCCTCAAAAGTCAGTGTTAGCAGTCTGCATTTTACAGGAGAAACTGAAGTGTCACCCAGAGAGGAAGGAGCTGGGGTTGCAAGTATTTGACCTGTTTCCACTGCTATGCCTCCATGCACAACACAGACGCAGCTGAGAGGGTCTGGGATATGGGAGAAGCCATCAAGGGCAAGGCGAGATTTGAGCTGGGTTTTGAAGGAGGCTAAGGGACTTCCAAATCTGGGAGTGCGCTCCAGATGCAGAGGCAAATGGCTTGTGCTAAGGCAGAGAAGCAGGGGTGGGAAAGTACCCAGCACCTCAAGGAAACCATCCTCACTGAACATGTTTGATTTTATGCCCCCAGCTTTGTTCACAAGCTAGGATGGGAGAAAGGATTATTTAGAAACACTCTTGATATCTCTGGAAAAGTTCATTTGTTGGTGTCCTATTGTGTTACTTAATGCTTGCTATGTAAGGGGCCATGCAATGGTTTTTTGCAAAGATGTATTTCAGGGAAATATTTCTAACTCTAGAAAAACCTGGGAATTTTTTATTTCTTCAGGAGATGAGACTTGTGTGGCCTCCTACGGTTCCCACTTTTGCTTGAATTCCGACATGCTGCCAAGATGCCTTAAGTCAAATGATAAGCCCCTTTGTTTTGGGCAGCTGCCTAGTCTAGGAAGTGGTTAGGATGTAACCAGGGCTCTGGTTAAGGCTCTGCTGTCAAGCTACCCAGTTTGAGATCCCAGCCCTACCATTTCCTGGCTGTGCAACTTTGGGCAAGTTATTTGTCTTCCCTGGGCCTCGGTTTCCTCATCTGTAAAATGATATAATAAAAGCACTTACATCATAGGGTTTAATGTGAGGATTAAATTAGCTAATGCATGTAACAATTAATGTAAAATCACAACCCTTCCCAACCTTTCCTGCGCTTATTTCCTTCTTTATTCTCCTTAGCACTTACCACTAAATTTCACTTATTTTGCTGATTCTTTGTCTCCTCCCACTGGATGGGAAGTTACACAAGTGCAGAGACTTTTATCTTTTTCTTTTTTTCACTGCTGCATCCTCAGAGCCTAGAACAATGCCTGGCATCCCATAAATATCAACTGAATGGATGATTCGAAAGGGCTTGGCAATGCCAGGCACACAGTACATGTTCAGCAAATGTTACTTTATATCTTTTTAAAATAATAACCCATATTCACTCCATCAGCAGATCGTGTCAGTTCTACATTCAAAACACGTTCTGAATTTGACCACTTCTCGCTGGCTCCACCGCCAGCATCCCAGCCTGAGTTCCCCTCACCGCTCACCTGGACGACTCCAGGAGTGGCCTAACTGGGTTCCTCGACTCCACTCCTGCTACCCTACACTCGGGTCTCTCACCCCACTCTCTGGGTCTCACGAGCCTATTGCATCAGGTCATGCCGTTCCCCTGCTCAAAAATCCTCCGGTGTTTCCCCAGCACACTCAGAATAAAATCAGAGACTTAGCATAGCCTGGAAGTCTCCATGCTCGGTGTTCTCTCTGAACCTCATCTCCCGCCCCTTTGCCCTCATTCATGTTGGCTACTGCTCAGGCCCCTTTGCATTTTCCATGCTACTGGAATGTTCTTCTTTCATGTGGATCACTATGACACAATTTTCAGTTGTCAGCTTAAATGTCACCTCCTAATGTACTGGTCTACAGGAGTCCCACATACTCTCAGCCCCGACTCTCAGACCCCTGTCCTGAGCATTTAGCACAGATTTTTTTGGACACTGCCTGTCTCTCCCATAAGAATGTAAGCTCCACGAAGGCAGGTACTTTGGCTGGAAGAGTGCAGCCTGGCCTAGTGAGTGTGTTGCTTCTGCCCCTGCAGTGCTGAGGGAAGTGGGCTATTGGTGACAGTAAGGACCCTCACACTGTTTCTTCCTGTGCCTGGCCAGGTCCTGCAGATCTGCCCCAAGGACATGAGAGCTGACATCTGTGTACACCTGAACCGCAAGGTGTTCAAGGAGCACCCAGCCTTCCGGCTGGCCAGCGATGGCTGCCTGCGGGCACTGGCCATGGAGTTCCAGACGGTGCACTGTGCCCCGGGGGACCTCATCTACCATGCAGGAGAGAGTGTTGACAGCCTCTGCTTTGTGGTCTCCGGCTCCCTGGAGGTGATCCAGGATGATGAGGTGGTAGCCATCCTAGGTAGGTGTTGCCTTTGCCAGATGGACACCTTCTGCTACCTGGGGTTGGCTTAGCTACTAGGCAGCTCAATGCCGCTGCCACCTTCAACCAGAGATTGCTCCGCAGGGCAGGGCCATTGTTGTTGGAAGGCCATCCATTCATCTGTCCAACAAACAAATATTTGAGTGCCTGTTTTGTGCCAGTTGCTGTTCGAGGCGCTTGGGGTGTTTCAATGACAAAAATGCATTTTGTCCTCAAGGGGCTCCCTGATTAGTAGAGGAGAAGAACAAATAAACATTTACAAAACAGAGGAAGGGGCATCTAACCTAGTATTCAAGTGGGAAAGATTCCTATACCTGTACTGAAATCTAAATTGAGAATAAGCGTAGAGAAGGGAAGATATGAAGGAATATTCTAAGGAAGGGGTAATGCATGAAATCCCAGCAGAGAGAGAGAGAGAGAAAGAGAGGGAGAAATGACTCACTTGGGGAACTGCAAGTTATTGGATGTGGCTGGAGCACACAGAACAAGAAGGGACATGGCAAGAGATGAGGCTGGGGAGGGAGCTAAGCACTAGGCAGATTGAGGCAGGCTCTAGAAGCCACATTAAGGGACTTGGATTTTATTCAGGGGAGCCAAAGCAGGAGAGAGATACGGTCGGATTTGTACTTTAGAAAGATGACGTTAGTTGTAGCTTGGAGAGTGGATTGAGGAGGGCAGGGGGAGGCAGGGAGACCAGGTTGGAGACATGTTACCTAGGGACAAGTTGATGGTGGCCTGAACTACTGTTGTGGCAGGCTGATAGAGAGAAGCAGACGGAGCCGAGGTATTTAAGAAGTAGAATCACCAGAACCTAATGACAGATTTGCTGTAGGGGGAGAGGAGGAGTCAACGAGGACTGTAGCATTTCTCACATGGATGACAGGGGGCTGGTACACCACACATAGTAATAGAGAACATGGGAGAAAGAGCAGGGACGTGGGGGCCATGTTGGCATTTGGGATGTTGAGCATCGGTGGCTTTTGAGAAATTCATCTGATTGCCTGGGGTAACCACAGAGCAGATCTTTATTGGGGGGCATGTCTCTCTTAGGCAGCAAGCCATTATCATAATAATAACCATCACTGATGGTCATCTACTCTGTGCCAAGCATTTGCAATGCAGATTCTGATTTAATCCTTACAGTAATTCCATGAAATGGTTTTATCATTCCCTTTTTGTAGGTGAGATAGCTAAGGTTCAGAGAGGTTAAGGAAATTTCCTCATGGCTGATGAGGTCCATGGAGCCAGCATCGTGGAGGCCTTCTGACTCTAAAACCTCTGCTTCAATCCATTTTGCAGTACTGCAGTTCTAATGATAATTAATGTAGTGGGCTGGCCCATTAAGTTGTCAAGCACTGCTAGACACTGTGGATGTATGCTTTATCTTTTGCATATGATTTCTTAAGAAACTGAGACAGATTAAATTACACTAAAGTTAGAATTGAGATTCAAACTACATAGAGGCGTAGATAGTATTATTTAAAAAAAAAAAAAAAAGCCCAAACTGTGTTCCTGCTTTACTGGAGTACATGATACGCAGCTCCCTTCTTGCTCCTCTGGCCCCGAGCCAACTGGCCTTCTTGATTACATTTTGCTCAAGCTAAACCGAGGATGATTTATATTCCTTCAGCGTATGCTGGCAGATGGTCAGAGGGAGACTGGGTGGGGAACGGAAGCTGACCTCTGCTAAAATAAATGTTCTAGAGTCCATGGTATCCATTGAACTCTGAAGACCAGAGTTACTCCCTCCCTTACCCCCTTATCACAGAGAAGTGAGACTTGAGCATGTATAAGGAGCAGGACACATGAAGGCTAAAGCCATTGCTTTAGTGTATCTGAAGGGAAAGGGCATTTACCTCTACCTTTACTACTCATCAGTGTCCTTGAGAAAGAGGACTTTCTGCTGCCAATAGCTATTGGGATGTTTGCCTAGCTGAGGACAAGAGTAAGTCTCCACTAGTGAGCAATCCTTTGAATTCGAATTAGCCGTTTGGTGTAGGGTGACTTTCACCCATCTCCCCACTGATAACACTCCATATGCTTTTCCAAAGAATGTGGCCTGGTGACCAGCACCATCCTCCTTCCCTACCTATATGCAGGGCATCCTTAATGACCCACCCTCAACAGCTATGCTACTAGGAGTTGGTTTGGCTCCTAGACTCAGACATGGAGGAATGACGAAGCTGAAGAAGGGGAAGGGAAACAGCTACTTCCTCCACCCTTCTCATTTCCCCTGAGCCTGGGCTTCTTGTGGGGAAGCAACCAAGGCTTGATTTGTTGTTGATTTACTTGGTAGATTGACTGCTTCTCTAAATCCAGCCCTCTGCCTCGGGCCCTCCTGGGCATCCTGTGTGCTCCAGTTAGCAATGTGGACGGGAGCTCTGAAATCGCTCAGCAGCTTTGGATTCAAAATGGTTGTTGCCCTTGCTGTCCAGACCAGAAAAAGCTTCTCCAGTGTGTCCCCAGGAGCCAGGTTGGGTCCAAAAAGTAGGTCCAAGCTCAATATCCTAAATAACCTGTTTCATTTCAAAAGGCTCTTACTCTATAAAAGGACAAGATGACTCCTTTGAGCCAAACTGACTTCTGGGCCAAGGGACATAAGAAATTGAAAGTTATATGCTCCTTGGGAACTTAAGTTTAGAGTTTTGTTGTTGTTTTTGTTATTCTCTAATTAGAATATCTTGCTCAATGAATTGAAATCAGTTTGTGCTTGCAAAGGCATCATATGGATATTATAACTGGATCTTTATTGTCTGTTAATGCTCTTCAGTTCAATCTATCTAAAATTTATTGACATCTACTGTGTGTCAGTCACTTTCATAGAGGTGGGGATATAGCATCTTTACGACATTAGTCCAGCCTCCACGGAGTTGGTGTAAGTGGAGGGAATGGACAACAGAAAGATAACCAGCACCCTGCATGATGAGCATTGCCACAGAGAGAATGCAGGTGTTGTAGAGGGTCACTGGATGAGCAATAAGCAGCCATTGTGTATCCAGTGCTCCAAAGAGGATGGAAAATATCCAGGGAATCCTTAGTTATCACAAGCAAAAGCCTTTAGAAAAAAGGCCAGAGCTTTTCCATCTCATTCTTTTGCTCTGTAGTCTCTTGTTATCAGTCCGTTCATTTACATCCTGCTAATTTGCTTCCTCCTTCCAGTTCTAATATTCCACCCGCATTCTCTGTTTAATTTTAGCACAAACCCTAAGAATGAGAAAAAAGGGTCAGTACCCATAACTGAGAGTGTTTAGTATGTGTTAAAAATAAAGTCCTTTCTAATGAAACTCTTCTAAACAAGAGTGTTTTTCCAACTTTTGTGACTGCAACCCACCATGTGAAACGCATATTACATTGCAAACTAATACACAAGTGCACATACAATTATACATAAACATCGGTACTTCTCTTGCTACGTGAAATGCAACCTAATGTTTTCTATTAGATTCTGTTCTCTTTCATTTAAAAAAAAAATTGAGTGTCATGACCCACTAAATTGCTTTCTTGACCCGATTGGAGCCTGCAGTTTAAAACATGGTCCCACCAACCTAGGCAATATTCTCTGAGGACAGAGAGCATGCCAGAAATCTCTTATGATCTCTTTCCCTCTGCTCTTCTCTCTGCCTTAATTTTGACATGACATCCTCCCAATCTCTTTTTGGAATTCTCTTAGAAATCACTTAACGGCTTCTCAAATTGAGTTTCTTGGCTCCTTGAAATAAATTCAAGCTTTTAACATGTGCATTTTATTCATTTGATTTTTAAAAGTAATTTTCTTTTAATTTTTTATAGGTATCAAAATAAAAAGGTATAGGTACCATTTTGCCCCTCCCCGAATGGCACTATTAGCACCTGCACGTGAGCTGAGCTGTTATCTTGGTGTTCTCTTTACTGTTTGCCTCACCAGCCAGCATCAGGACTGTGCTTAAGTGTGTCGAGTATCTCCCTGTGTGTCTGTCTTATAAGCGCAGTATTTATATGATCTTATTTCACTGTGATGTAGGGTCCCTGTAGTAACTTTTGTGGGTTTTGCATTTTAATACTTAATTTATATTTTAATCATGGGTCATTTTGCATCTTTTTTTCCCCTCTTTTTTATCATTCTGTTGGGCAAAACAGAAGTCTTGTGGCCAGACTGCATCAAGTAGTGGAAAGAGCCCTGGACTTGGAGCTGGAGATTGAACTGTAGCCCTGGTTCTGCACTAGCTCCTTCCAGGAGTTGCCACTAGGTGGTTAAGAGTCTCCGAAGGCCTCCTGCATTTCTACTAAGCCCATTACACTGCATCAATTGTGTGTTTACTCACCTTTCTCTCCTGTGGGCCCCAGGCCCTTTAATTTCATATTTCCAGCATCTAGCACATGGCCCAGCACACAGAAGGCACCAGGAATGGAATGGAATTGAAAGGAAGGCAGGGCTGGGCTGTGAAGGGCCCCACACTCCACAGTGAGACTTTATCTTGTGGGGATGATGAGGGGCCCAGAGAGAAGTTTAGAAAGGGAAGTGACAAGAAGATTTGGGTGCCACAAATACAGAGTCATGGAGGCTCAGGAGAAATGGTGAAGCCTTGAGTAAGGCAACGGAAGAAGAGCCAGAGTCCAGAGATAACAGGAAGGAGGAACTGCCAGATGCGGGAGGTGAGCAGAGGGAATACTTTCCAGTGGTGACTGGAGAGTCAACAGGGCCAGAGCAGGAGGAGGGAGGACAATGGGTCTATTTTGTTGAGTTTGCAATGTCCTTTTAGAACAGATCCAGGCCTGGCTCTCAACTAGAGGAAACTCTTCTCGGTTTGTGGATGGGCCAGAGCCTGTCCAGGGAGGGGAAGTAGCCCTGGGGAAGGGGGATGAGCAGCCTCTGGCTCATGCGGTGCAGATCCCACTTGCAGTCCTGTCGCTATTGAATTAGGATTTACATGTCCATTCTCTCTAAAGCATGGGTAAAGGCATGAATACTTGTTCACAGACGGAATCTTTTTGTTTAATGG